CTCTACTAAAAACACAAAAATTAGCCAGGCGTGGTGGTGGGTGCCTGTAATCCCAGCTACTTGGGAGGCTGAGGCAGAAGAATTGCTTGAACCCAGGACGCGGAGGTTGCAATGAGCTGAGATCACACCACTGCACTCCAGCCTGGGTGACAGAGTCTCAAAAAAAAAGAAAGAAAAAGAAAGAAAAGAAAGGAAGGAAGGGAGAGAGGGAGGGAGGGAGGCAGGGAGGAAAGAAAGAAAGGAAACAAATCAAAGGGAGTCTATGTGCCCTTTACCCAGTTTCTCCCAATGGCAACATCCTGCAAAAGTACAGTACAATATCACAACAAGGATGTTGACATTAAGATGGGCAAGATACAGAACTTTTCCATAACCACAAGTATCCTGCCTGTTGCCTTTTACAACCACACCCACTTCCTTCCCCTTACCACCCTCCTCACAACTCTGTCCCTAACCCCTGCAATCACTAATCTGTTCAGCATTTCTGTAATTTTTGTGATTCCCACAATGTTATATACATGGAATCATGCAGTATGTAACTGTTGAGATTGGCTTTTTTTTTTTTAACTTGGCATAATTCTCTGGAGATTCATCCAAATTGTTGAATATATCAATAGTTCTTTCCGGTTTATTGCTGAATAGTTTTCCATGGTATGGATGCAACCTAGCTTGTTTAAACACTCACCCATGAGGGACTTCAGGTAGTTTCAAGTTTTGAGATATTATGAACGAGGCTGCTGTGAACATTCGCACACTAGCTTTTGTGTAAATACAAGTTTTCATTTCTCTGGAATAAACACCTAAGAATAAAACTGCTGGCTCAGATTGCTAGGCGGTGCATGTTTAATGTCTTTAGAAACTGCCATACTGGTTTCCAGAGTGGCTGTATCGTTTCACCTTCGCACAAGCAATTGTGCACAATCTGATTTCTCCAAGTCTATAGCTTGTCTTTTCATCCTCTTAAAAAGGCCTTTTACAAGGCTGGGTGCAGTGGCTTACACCTATAGACCCAGCACTTTGGGAAGCTGAGGCAGGCGGATTATTTCAGGTCATAAGTTTGAGACCAGCCTGGCCAACATAGTGAAACCCTGTCTCTGTTAAAAATACAAAAATTAGCCAGGTGTGGTGGCACACGCCTGTTGTCTCAGCTACTCAGGAGGCTGAGGCAGGAGAATCACTTAAACCCAGGAGGAAGAGTCTGCAGGAAACCGAGATCACGCCACTGCACTCCAGCCTGGGCAACAGAGCGAGACTCTGTCTCAAAAAAAAAAAAAAAAGAAAAAGAAAAGAAAAGAAAAAGAAAAGAGAAAAGTCTTTCACAGAACAAAACTTTTAATTTTGATGCAGTCCAGTTCATCCATTTTTCTTTTATGGATCAAGCTTTTGGTGTGATACCTAAGAACTCTTCACTTGGCCCTATGCCCCAAAGACTTTTCTCTCCTGTTTTCTTCTAAAAGTTTTTCACATTTAATTTCTATTTTATCTTTGAGATAATTTTTATATTTGCTGTTAAACTTGAATCAAGTTTCATTTTTATTTTTTGCCTATAGATGTCCAATTGCTCCAGTGCCACCCATGGAAAAGGCTTTCTTTCTCCACTGAAATTTTTTTCCCCTTTCTGAAAAACCCATTGAGAATATTTGTATGGATTTATTCCCTTTCTGTCACTGGGAAGTGCTGGCAGTGTCCAGCAGGGAGCTGATCTTTCATTCCCTGCTTGGTGATGCTGATTCCCCAATTAGGATAGGGCTGGCAGGGATGAGTGGGGAGGTCGTCTTCTCCCCACCTGGCAGAAGAAGGCAGTGCTCTGACTCTCTCTCTAGGGTAGTGTCAACAGGGTCCAGCAGTGACAAGATTTCAGGAAGTATCATGAGGTGGGACTCATCACCTCTGGGCTTCATTGCTCCCCTCCCCCAGCCTACCTATGTCAGTAGAGCCTGGTGGGAACCTGAGCCTCTATCCCCACCCAGCATCAGTGAGGTAAAACAACGTGGTGAGATGCAGGGCAACCTGGCACTTCTACTCTCCCATATCCTTTTTGGATGTGAGTGTTGCCCACAGGGGAGCTGATCTAACATTACTGACTTGGAGGCAATGAGGTGATGTGATTGATTTTATACATAGGTATATACATAAGTATGCTATACTGTCTATGAAGCTCATTTCAGGATACCAAAGAAATATTAAATATTTGTTATTAATTCTCACAACAATTCTATGCGGTATTAGTGTCCCCATTTCATAAATGAGAAAACCAAGGCTTAGAGAGATGAATGATTTTTCCAAGTGAGTAAATGGCAGAGCCAAAATCTGACCCCATGTCTGCCTGAGCCTGAAGGCCTCAGAACTCCCCTGGAAAGCATGATAATGATGCAGCAGAGATTATTCTATGAGTTCACCAAACCCTGTTTTCTTTTTCTCCTGGAAACACAGATGCACTACATTTTCCACCTTCCCTTGTGGTTAGCAGAGGTCGTGTGGCTAAATTATGGCCCCTGAAACATGAGTAGGAGTAACATTTGCCACTTCAAATTTGGACCTTCCCCAAAAATGCCCACATAATTTTCCATGTTCTTGTTCTCTCTCTTCCCTCTCTGCCAGCGGGATGCAAAAGTATCCAGCAAGACCTTACAAAATATCAGAGCCACAAGGTCAAAGGAACCTGGATCCCTGAATGACCGTATGGAACATAATGTCACCTTCCTCAGATCCACAAATGCACTGTGACATAAATGAGATATAAACTTCTGTATTAACACTTGCAATTTGGGCATTATTACATCAGTTAGCCTACCCTAATATGGATGGTGTCCCCAAAAGCCAAGAGCAGCCACTCTATCCTATCTCCAAGCCCCACACCAGCTCCCAAGTGCCTCTGCCCACCTGGTTGGACCCTAGTCAAAGTCCTCATTTTGCTTGTTTTAAGGCTGTTGGCTTGTCGGACCGGAGGCAGAGTAGATGGCTTGGTTTTCTGTTTGGACTGCTGCCATAGTACATAATCCTACAAAATATATAATCAGTGACATAGCACTGTGAGTTAATATCCCAGCTCTACCCTTTTCAGGTATCTGTTACCTCAAACAAGTGACTTTACCTCTCTGGGCCTCAATTTTCTCATCTGTAAAGTGGATCTAATAATAAAACCTACTTCTGTGGGTTGGAACAAGAATTCTGATAGATGATATTTATGAAACATGTGGTGAGTGCTCCATAAATGTTAGCTATCACTTTTTTTTTTTTTTTTTTTTTATCAGCCAGCCAGAATTTACTAAGCACATCCAGGCTGTGAGGTGCTAAGAACTGTAAGAAACAGAAGGCATGGAAAAGACCCAACATCCACCCTCAGGAAACCAGAGTAGCAATCAGATAAATAAGAGAACAATGTAATATACCCTTACATTCTGATAAGACAGTCAGAGGAGAAAAATTAGGTTCTGAGGCGTGCTCTGGGTCCCACAGCAAAGTGTCACCCGGCTGGGACTGGAATTCAGGTCTCCAGCCTATATCCGCGGAGCAGTCACGACAGTGACAGTGGAGGGCAGGTGGACTGCAGGGCCAGTGAGCCTCCCACCCCAGCCCTAGACCCCCAAGACTCACCTTAACCTGGAACTCGTGGACTGTGGAGTAAGTCCCAGAGTGCTTGGGTCTGGAAAGAGTTGGGGAGGGTAAGAACTTCCATTATTCCCAGTCCAAGGGGCTGCAAGCAGCAAACTTGAAACAGGATTGGAGTCTCGAACACCAAACTCCACAATAGTTCACCCAGCACAGTAACGCCCGGGGAGTGGGGCGGGGCCAAGGACATGAGGGCGGGAAGAGGGCGGGGGTCAGAAGACCTCATGGCGAGGGCGGGATCAGGTCGAACTCAAGGCAAGGGCGGGGCAGCGGCGGGGTGGGAAATACGCATGCGCACTCCGCCCCGCCGCCAATGCTCTTTTTTACCTACTTTTGTAAGACATGCGCCATTGGGGAAAATGGAAAAGAAGTTGCGAGTCTGTGAGACCCTGATCTTCTAGAACGCCTACGCGGCTTTTCCAACTTCCTTGTCTCAGTGTAGATCGCGCGGTAACCCAGGCCACTTAAACTTCCCGAGACCCGATGCTTTTGCTAGTGTCTCGGTCTCCAAGGAAACGCGACGCCAGCTACCGAGCGCCTAGAGGGACTAACCTCTCAAGGCAAAATCTAGCTCGGCCCGCTTTTCAATTTGGTATAGAATTCCCTTCAGTTTGTTCGGCCTATAATCCTAACATATTATATTTCTCCATTCTCATTAAACCTTCATCACTTCCTTCGCCATCCTCACTCTTGGCTAACGACTTTGCTTCCAATTTTACCAAGAAAATTGTGGGAATCAGTAAACCCACAAGTTGACAGCACCATTTACTCGCCTACTTGCCTCCCTCCTGTACCTACGTATAAACTGCCTACTAAGACCAATTCCTACATGTATGCACTGAATCCTATGCTCTCATTTTCTCAAAGATATTGGCCGAGCAGTTTTCCCCGTTTTCTCCTACGTCATCCTCTTTTCCCTCTCCTTTGTATCATCCGTATACCAACATTTGTTTAAGTTTCTTCTATTTAGAAAGATTGACCACAGCCCGGCACGGAGGCTCATGCCTATAATCGCAGCACTTTGGGAGGCTAGAGGGGGAAGATCACTTGAGCCAGGAAGGTCGAGGCTGCAGCGAGGCATGATCCAGCCACTGCATTCCAGCCTGGGTGACAGAGCAAGACCCTGTCTCTAAATAAATAAACAAACAAACCACTTCCCCTCCAGCCAGCTCCCATTTCTGCTTCATTTTAAAGCAAAACTCCTAGAGAGGTTTCCCTACTGTTTCCCAATTTTTGCCCTCCACTAAATCGAGCTTTCACTCTCCACTGAAACTGCCCTTGTCAACATCATTGGTGACCTCCACTTTGCTAAACCCCATGGTGTCTTCTAGGTCCTCTCCTTATTTGGCCTGTCTGCAGCATGTGACCCAACAGATCACTCCCTCCCCTGAAACACTTTCTTAACTTAGTATCCAGGAAACCACTCTTGAGTTGCTTCCTGCCTCCTTTCAGTCTCCTTTGCTGGTTCCTCCTCTTCTCCCTTTACCATTGTGGTGTCCCAGGGCTCAGTCCCAGCCTTCTCCCTTCCAGTCTCATGGTTTTGAATAACATCTGTACCCAGATGCCTCTCAGACTCACGTCTCCAGCTTGCCCCTGAATTCCAGCTATATACATCTAACTGCCTACTCGGTCCCCTTATAAGCTACTCTAATGTGCAGTATTTTTCCAGAAACCTTTTTCCTGAACTCAAAATGGGGAAATTCTCTTCTTGAAATCATCCTTAATTCATCTCTCATCCCACATCCATCAGCAGATCCTGTTGCAATAACTTCAACATATATCTGGAATAGGAACACACACACACACACACACACACACACACTCATACACACACAACCCTCTTTCCTTTTGTGCCCCAGCTAAAGTAGTAACTCCCACCCTTGACCTACACCAATTCTTTCTACACACCAAATTTGCTAGATAGAGCATAGATTTAAAAGTGAATTCCAGTTTGAAAGATAATTGGGAGGGAGCAAATAATTGGAAATCACTTAAACTTCAATAGGGGGAAATTACTATAGAATACCACACCAGAGCTCCCAACATTTTCTGCCTCTTAAAAATCACAGGAGAATGTTTTTAAATGCACTGTAGTAAATAGAAGCAGCTGCTAAGATAAAAGCAATTAGACTGGGTGCTCTGGCTATCCAGGTCCCTCCTGGCTGCACCTAGAGCTGAGGGAATCACTATGTTGGGTACCCTCATTTGCAGAGCACACTGTATGACAATACTCTTTCTGGGAAACTGTACCAGGAAACCATTAAAGTAAAAGATAGCGGGGCACAGTGGCTCACACCTGTAATCCCACCACTTTGGGAGGCCAAGGCAGGCAGATCATGAGGTAAAGAGATCGAGACCATCCTGGCCAACCTGGTGAAACCCCATCTTTACCAAAAATACAAAAATTAGCTGGGCATGCTGGTGCATGCCTTTAGTCCCAACTACTCTGGAGGCTGAGGCAGGAGAGTCACTTGAGCCTGGGAGGCAAAGGTTTCAGTGAGCCAAGATCGTGCCATTGCACTCTAGCCTGGCAACAGAGCAAGACTCCATCTCAAGAAAAATAAAGTACAAGATAAAGGTCAGGCGTGATGGCTCACGCCTGTAATCCCAGCACTTTGGGAGGCTGAGGCAGGTGGATCATTTGAGATCAGGTGTTCAAGACCAGCCTGGCCAACATGGTGAAACCCTATCTCTACTAAAAATACAAAAAGTTGGCAGGGCGTGGTGGCAGATGCCTATAATTCCAGCTACTCCAGAGGCTGAGGCAGGAGAATCACTTGAACCGGGGAAGCCGAGGTTCCAGTGAGCCAAGATTGTGCCATTGCACACCAGCCTGGGCAACAATAGGGAAACTCTGTCTCAAAAAAAAAAAAAGCTAAGTAAAAGATAGCAATACATGACAGACCCAGGCAGTGACTTACTCAACAGCCTTTCCTCCCTGTCATCCCAGCTACTGGATGCTGATCTTGTCCATGTATGCACTTGCCTTAAGGGAGGCAGGCCCCAAACCCAGCCCTAGTCCTAGTCCCAGCTCCAGTAGTCATGACTGGTTTGAGGCTGGACTTTGGTAGGCCAATTTCCATTCCCAGTCAGAGGTCTAGTCATAGACACGTGATGAAAGTCTGGCCAGGGAGACGAATGAGAAATCTACTCAGAGGCTTTTGGGAAAGGTTTTCATCACACTTTTAAAAAAAAGACATTGCAGAAAAACATTCCTTCATCTGCTCGTAGACATTGTCATATCTGTGTGGGATTCCTGGAATCGAGGAACTGTGAAGGGAGCTGGCCAAAGAGGATATATTGTGAATGGTAGAGAGGAAAATGGAAGAGAAAAAACCCTCTTCCTTGATAGCACTGTTGAGCCATTAAATTATCTAACCCTAGCCTGGCACAATGGTATGTGCCTATAATACCAGCTACTTGGGAGGCTAAGATAGGAGGATTGCTTGAGGCCAGGGGTTTGAGATTAGTCTTGGCATCATAGCGAGACTGCATCTCAGGGAAAAAAAATTTTTTTTGTTTTAATTAGCCAGATACAGTGATGTATACCTTAGTCCCAGCTACTTGGCAGGCTATAGTGGGAGGACTGCTTGAGTCCATGTGTTTGAGGCTACAATGAGCTATGATTGTGCCATCGCACACCAGCCTGAGCAACAGGGTGAGATTCTATCTCTAAAAAAATTAATCGATTAAATTAACCTGTCACCTATCTAGAAATTACCTGAGATTAAATAAGAAATCATATTACTGCATGAGCAAATTTGAGTCGAGTTTTCTGGCACTTGCAGACCGAAAGCATTTTACTGAAATCTACATGTGGAGGAACAACAAGATAGAAGGAACCCAGGTCCCTGACAACCTTGCAGGACAGAGTCACCTGCCTGTCCTTACTGCCTACCAAATTCCGAGCTACTTAATCAAAGAGAAATAAACCTCCAACTTGTCTGAGACCCTGTATTTGAGAGTCCCTTTGGTAGAGTAGCTTAGCCTGTACCTTGATTAATACAAAGAAGAGCTTGACCCCTGTCACACAGCCTTCCTCATCAGACATGCGGACCCAGCATGGACATCCACTGAGAGCTGCCCGCGCCCCACATCTCAGGTGCTCAGTCAGTAATATTACTGCCTCCCACTTCAAATTTTAAAATAAATACACAAAAACATTTGCCAGTTTAATCAAAGCCAAAACACACTTGAGGGACCACTGAAAATCACTTGTAACAAAGCTGTTGGAACTGGGATTGAATAAGATGGGGTCCACTTGCACTTACACCTGTCCAGGTAGCATTTCTGTGTTCATCAACACCTAATGGAACCTCCTGCCCCCAGGATAGGTGGGCAAGACGAGCTGGCCTTTCCTGCCTGCGCATGTGAGGTGATGAATGTGACCGAGGGCCTCTCAGGTCTGCTTGGCTCCAGGCTCAGAAATAGCAACCTGGGCTCTGATTGCATCAACATCTTGCTGAGAGGTGGACTCGGCTGAGCAGGAAGTCTCGGGCTTCCATCCATGTCATTTGATGTGCTGGCTTTTTGGCAAATGTGCACACCATCCTAAACCCACAATCCCTATTGTTGTCACTGGGTAAGATGCCATGGTTCTTGTGAAGACACCTGCCACACTCAACATAACAAGATCCTGGCCAGGTGTGGGGGCTCACACCTGTAATCCCAGCACTTTAGGAGGCCAAGGCAGACAGATCATGAGGTCAGGAGTTCAAGACCAGCCTGGCCAACATGGTGAAACCCCATCTCTACTAAAAATACAAAAGTTAGCCAGGCGTGGTGGTGTGTGCCTGTAGTCCCAGTTACTCAGGATGCTGAGTTGGAAGAATCACACCAGAAATTAACGGAAAGCCGTGGAACAGATTTTCCCCTAGAGCCTTCAGAGAGAACGCGGCCCTGCTGACACCTAGATTTCAGACTTTTAGCCTCAGGAACTGTGAGATAATAAGTTCCTGTTATTTTAAACCACTCAGTTTATAGCAGCGGTTCCCAATCTTTTTGGGACCAGGAACTGGTTTCACAGAAGACAATTTTTCCATGGACAGGGCTGAGGGTGGTTTCGAGATGAAACTGTTCCACCTTAGATCATCAGGTATTAAATTATCATTGGGTGCATGCAACCTAGATCCCTCGCATGTACAGTTCACAATAGGGTTCCACTCCTATGAGAGTCTAATGTCACTGCTGATCTGACAGGAAGTGGAGCTCGGGTCGGTCGTAATGCTCACTTGCCTGCCGCTCACCTCCTGCTGTGTGGCCCGGTTCCTAATGGGCAGACCCAGGTATTGGGAACCCCTGGTTTATAGTATGTTGTTGTAGCAGACCTAGGAAACTAATACAGTCTGCATGATGCCATTGACTCCCACAACAGAGCTCTGACCCTGTTCATGGACCATCTTTAGCTGTGTTACCTCCTCGACAATCTGGATGAAGAAATACCCCTCAATGGTGTCTGCAAGACACTGGGGGTCCTAAACAGTGAATATGTCCTACAGGATGTCCTCCTGGATG